ACGGCAGGAAGATATGCCAGGGGAGGTTTAGGTTGGACATTAGGAAAAGGTTCTTCACCCAGAGGGTGGTGGAGCACTGGAACAGGCTCCCCTGCGAGGTAGTCACGGGGCCAAGCCTGACAATATTCAAGAAACATTTGGACAATGCCCTCAGACATACAATGTGAGTTTTGGGGTTGTCCTATACAGGGACAGGAGTTGGACTTGATGATCCTTGTGGGTCCCTTCCAACTCAGGACATGCTATGATTCTATGATCTTGCTTACAAGCAGGGAGAAGTGAACTGAAAGTGTATGTGGTTTGGAGGGGGGAAGGGTTATTTTGGGTTTGTTTTGTTTTTTTAATCTAGGGCACAGATAAGATACGTCTGAGGAAGATCTTTTCAATCCTCAATTAAAGAAGATATTTCTCAGCGCTTGGATAGCATTCTGAAAAAGCCTGGCTGCTACATCTGTTCCTAATGGATAGATCTATGTTTTTATGTTTTCTGGCTTTAGACTTCCTAAGAGTATGATAAATGTTTTGTCTTACTCAGAAGGATCCATCTTGATGCCTTACAGTTTCACTAAGTTAGAGGGGCCATTAACTTTGTTCTTTGCTTTAGTTTTTGGCTTTTGTCTAAATGGTTGTTTTGTAGGATTTAGGAGTGCTGCTGAACTACTGTTCTGATGGCTGTTGTACTTTTTGTGCTATGGCTTAACAGGAAAATAGAGAAAAGCTGGCCTGGCAGAGCTGCCGTTGTGCCTTTGCATGAGGGTTCTCTTCTCCTTCACATCTTGAGTGCTAGATATCTTCAGCCGCAAAGAACTGCGGGCAAGGAAAGCTTTGTTTCCTGCACATGAATGGATGTTTTACTTTACAAAGCAGTCCTGCAGCTTGATGTCTAAGATGCACAACTGATACTTTCCAGCGTGTCTTTTTTTAATGATAAATAACTTCTATGCATCAGAAAGGGTTAAGAATTTTGCCCCTTCTAACACCAGGCAGCCTTTAGCTAGCAAAAGTCTAAGGACCTTTGCTTAAAGGCAAAGGAATTGTTTTTTTTAAGAAGTTGCTTTGCTTGCTTGGTGATCCAGCAAAAAATATTTCTAAATGTGGCTTACACATCTTGATGCATATCATGTACATGTCAGGGATTTGCAAACTTGTAGCTGGGTCTGCTTCAAAAAATGTGACATGACTACAGAATTAAAGAGGGAGGAGTTAGAATCCTTTTCCTTTTCATGAGCAAATCCAGAACATCTTGTGCTGTCAGAGCAGGCGGCAGGAGCATGAAACACTCTGCACAGCTCCCAGTGTCTACTTCCTTAGCCCCATCTAGCTCCTCCAGCCTGACCCTGCTGGGTGAGAAGCTGTGTGTAGCCCAACCCATCCTCTGAGCTCAGGCTCACATTGTAATGTCTTTCATATTCCTGGCATTACTCAGATGGGCTGGAAAATCCTTTGTTCCAGAGGAAAAATTATCTTTTCATTTCTACAGAACTTTTAGAGACAAATGAGACACGACGCAATGCTCTTCTAGTCTGAAGGATGACTTTCACAAAGCCAGTTGTGTTATTTGCTCACCAGTGAGCAATCTCCAGATTAAGACAGCTGTCAAACAGTCCATGGGTGGTCAAGAGAACTCTGAAACAAGTTACTGTAGTGAGGTGTACTGCCAGCTCTGCAGCAGACTACGTTTACCTGAAGGGTGGTGTGCAGTATGTTGTTGGAATGAGGGGTGGGTGGGTGGTGGTGTTTTAGCTAATAGTATGCTGTGGTACTCTGATAAATTGATCTAAATAATATTACCTAATGGATGTGCGTTTTGGTGGCTCCGTAACTGATTTTGTTTGATGTTTCTTTTCAGTGGCTGGCAAAAGTATATCAGTCTCAAAGAATGATGGTTGGAGCAGAGATGTGTTACAGAAAGAGTCTGCAGCTGGCGTCACAGCAGGGCAGCTGGAATGGGAAGTTATCCAGTCTGCTCAGGCTGGCTATGCTCGCACTGGAAATCTGCATGGTAGTATAATAAAAGTTAGATAACTGCATGATTTAACAGGAGTTTATGGGATGTAGGGCTTCTGCAGTCTTTAAATGAAGCCCCTGTTTAAATTACTGTGTGTTTTATGAGTGACAACTAGAGAAGAAAATGAGACTGAAAGGGGCAGCGGACTGTTTTTAGAATGTCTCTTTGTAAGAGAGGTTGCTGTGAAATAATCACATAGAACCACTGTGTACATAAAGAGGCTAACTTGTTCAATAAGGCTTATTTCTCCAATAACAGATTCAGTTTGGTCATCCAAATTGACATACCCTTCAAGCCTCTGTCCTCTTGTTCGGACAAGCCTTAATAAACGTTTTTCCTGTACTGGTGCCTGGAGACTTCGGTCAGGTTTCAATTAACTTGATGCTGGGTGGTCATTTCTGGATATGGTGCCTTGCCTTGAAGTATAAAAACAATCTGAGGGAAGTGTGTCTTGTGGTATAAAGAAAATTATTCTACTCCTTGCAAGTGTCAATTCTCTTTAAGCATTGTCACTCTAGAAACTTGAAGTGCACTACCAGACTTCTTTAAAGCCTGATGTAAAAGGTAGATACTGTCATGCTCTTGGCTGATGCTTTTTCATGTATTTTAACAGATGATCGAGCTAACAGCCATAATCAAAATCAGGCAAAGGAACCCCATATATCCTGAGTGCTTCTATAAGAAAAGTTAGTCAGTTTTACCGAGGATAGCTGCAAAGCTGTTGCTTCTGGTGGGAAAAGAGAATCCCCCTCAGTGTAGACAAGTTTCTTTCTCACAAGCCATATGCTTCAAACGGCAGAATTTGTCAAGTGACAGGATTTTTCCTCCCATGAATCTTCTGTCCATTTTCTAGTGGTCTGCTCCCTGTTTCCTGTAGCTCCTAAATGTCTCGTTGCAAAGTTGCAAGGTACCTTCTAACTTAATTAATAGTACTTCATCAAATGCTGGCCTGAACTGCCTGAGAATATAGAAGACTTTGTTTAAAAATGTAATTAGTCGAATTTGATTATCTCATCTCTACTTTTTGCATGAGCAGAGGAGGTGATCAGTGGATTTCTGTTCGGCCTCTCTAATCTGCACTGGCTTAATGAAATGTGCAAAAGCCTGGTGAAAAACCTTGCTCAGATCCAAGAAAGCTTTGTGTTGGAAAATTGCTTGTCTCCCAATTATCTGTCCAAATGAAAATTTCGGCACCCCTTCAAGTACAGTAATTTGAATGCTATCCAGACACAATGGGGATAATAAGATTTTTCTCAAGCCAAAAGATACAGAGATTTGCTCAATAGTTCCTCTGTTAGGTAATTACCATCTTGGAGTTGGTTTTTACTTCTGGTAAGACATGGTGTCACTTCTGGGGATAAATCCTACATTCTAGAATATTCTTGTACATGGGATGAAGATGTATAAGCTGAAAAGCAAACGAGGGTTTGTGATTAAAACAAGCATTACTAAAACATGTGTGGAAAAAAATAAAAAGATTGTTTGCATAAATGAGCAAGTGGAATGCTGGTAATGCTGGTCCTAGAATATGTAACATGACTTTTCCAGGCTCTTCTAACCACTGTTTGGGTTTGGGTTTTTTTAAAAGAAATCTCTCTCTAACCTGCCAAATACTTTATATAACTCAGAACAGCTTGAATTAAACCTGCTCTCTAGAGAGCCACAAACAAAAACTAATGTATACTACACGCTGCAATAAAGCCTGTTCTCTTTTTTTTGTTTTTTTTTGTTCTTTTTTTGGTCTTTTATCATAGGCTAATGTCTCAAATGAGCACTGGCCATCCTTGGTTCAGGAGGCAACAACTGAAGCTTTGAAACTTTCTTCTTGCCCCCTGGCAGCTCTCCTACAAGCACTGCTACAGTATAATCGCAAAATGGGAGCAAGGTATGCATGATCTGTTAAGTTCAAAGGGAACACACTGTCTAAAAGTACAAGCAGTCATTATCCCCAGATCTAACTCTTAAAAGGACAGATCTAACTTAAAAGGGAGAGGGGGGAAGGGGTTCGTAGTGCAGGGAGCATGAAGCAGTAGAATCTTCCTCCTTTTCTCAAAAAACCTGTTGATGACCTTCATACCAAAAGAAAAACAGCTGTAAGACAACTTTTATTTTAATAGCTTGTTACGTAAATAAATTAATCAGGAAGACTATACATGTCTCAAAGATCTTGTGAAATTGCATGGTTGAAACAGGTATTGCTACCCTGTCTACTGCTGGGATTCGTTTTGATCCTAAATTGGGCTCACAGTCAAAGTTTGTGTTCATTCCTGAGTAACCAGGTGCTCATTGTGGCTTTTTGAGGAAGGGGAGAAAGATCTGGGGGAGGGGGCTTGGAAGCCTTCTACTTTGTGAGTTTGGTTATTAAGTTTAGTTTGTCTTTTACAGTATTTTTGCTTAAGCTCTGAAAAATTGGAATATTCTTGATGGTTTTGTTCAATAATTTCACCTGGTTTTATAGATATTTCTAACAAACTGGCTTGCTTTCTCTGTGGGCTTTTAAGAAGATGAGAGGCAGCCTAATGTGATTGTGGTGGTTGTCAATTATAACAAAATTGGGCTGAAAACTTATTTAATCAATTAAAATCAGTCTTATTACAATTTCAGATATTAACGTAGGTGAACAGTAACGTATATCACAAGATCTAGTTGATCTGCCTAGGTTTTTCAAAATCCTGAAACAAGAAATTAATCCTAACTACAAATAGCAAACAAAAACCAGATGTAACCCCTCAACAGCCTGTTAAATCACAATGTACTGAAAAATCACATTGCTTATAAAGGACAGAATTCTTGAAACAAGAGCCAAAGTTGATGGAGCACCAGTGAATGTATATGACATCCCTAAACTTCATTGACAGTTTTTACCAGGTTTCTGATGACATTGTGAATTTGAAAATGTCTTGGTTAGGTATAAGGGGGCAGTGTTGGAAGGTAGTATCAGCTAAATAGAATTTTAGACTTTGTGTAGTACTCTGTTCCAATTTTCTTCTCTTCTGCAATTTCACATCTTGCCTCTGTGTTTGCAGGAACTGCAGTACCTTTTGTGAGTGCCTGGATTAAATACATTTGTGTATAATATTAAGTTTTATTGGGATTATTAAGATTTATTGTAGTACCTGCTTCTCTCAGGTGCTGTCTTCCAAAACATTTATTTCATAGCTCTTAAACAGGAGAATACCCTCTGTACTTGCTCAGCAGATCACATACTGAAATTGGAGGTTGTGCTGAGTTCACAGACAGCATGGTGTTTATCATATTATTGTAGCAGTCATAAAATCTGCTATGTCAATCTAATTTGGGTTACTTGCTAGTTAAAGCACTAACTTGAGTGTCATATATTAAGCATAACAATGGTGGCAGTATTCCTTAGCGTTCTGGGTGCAAATACATAGGAAACAAAGGAACATGCAACTCTACTCCCTCACTTTCTTGGGTGGTATGGAAATAAGGACCTTCCCTAATTACTCCTGATCATTGTTGCTTGCTCTGTGATACTGGTGTGTTACATGCAACCTAGTCAGTTGCATTTGATTTGGATTATGTTTTGGTTTTGCTTCTAGGGAGACTCGTC